TGCCTTTTCTGTCCGACTAGTTGGGTGATACTTAAACAATTAGACCCTTTGCCCTCAAGGGCCACGGGTCTAATTGTTAAGTATAGGGCTTAGCACCGGGTGCGCTAACTTCGCCTACAATTTACTTTCTTTAATGTCGGTTCCCCCTCTTTTCTTTTCAGACTAGAAGTTTTGTCGAGACCTAAGAACAAAATGGGTTCTTCCTGAAATGTGAAAGATAAAAGAGGGAAAAGAAAAGCAGTATTTCTTATAGTTATTCTTTTTGGGCAACTCCGCTTTGATTTATTAAAAAGTAGTGACTTACAGATATCAAATTTAAAAGCAGTACCTCTAAACCTTTCGAGATTTGTGTAGGTCGTTCTTCTGTATCTTTGGATATAAGCAACACATTAGTAGACTATACATTTCTCAACAAAACATTAAAAGAAATTTTTATTGCAATGATTACAATTTTTGGGGGGACCGTTACATTTTCTCAGCTCCATAATTAGCTTGAAAACCACCTTCCAACCTGTTGATACAGGAGGGACTCCCACAGTCAAAGGGGTGGATGATCTTCTTTTTAAGGGTGATAATATTTGGATTATGGTATAATTATAGCGTACAGGAATGAACGCTAATATTTTTTACTCATAAGGGTATCTTTTAGGAATGCAATTCCTGTTTTGTCTCTTGTCGATCACTTATGATATCTTTAAAAACGTCTCTCTAGTTGATGAAAGCATTCTACGACAGAGTCATAGCAACCAATTACTAGTCAGTCTGTTTAAAATGGTTTTAGGGGGCATATACAGCTAGATTCAATTAAAATTTATGAAGTGTAATACAACCTGATTCCATTGATCCGACAAAAGACTCAAAAGACTCAAAAGCCGTGCCGTCCCTCATTTCTTTTCTGAAAACAAAATCGGGTATTTGTGACGGATTCAAAACATCCTATGCCAGTATAATTAACATCTTGACTGGATGTAAAAACGAGAGAAAATGAAGGAGAGGATCCCTTTGCTTCATGACAATTTAAAAAAATATATTTGTGGCTAATGTTGGTTTATTTCAGTCTGTACCCGTCACCATAGTCTCCCCTCGCAGTCACCATTTTGCTCTTTGACTGCTACTTTTATCCGATTTTTCCACGTCAAAAAATAATTTCGTTCATCAGCGAAAGTGACGTTATTATCGCCCGCTGCGTTTTTTTCCTCTGTGTGTGTATTGTCATCTGCTGTAAAAATGATCAAGAGCCTGCCAACTTTAAGAATACCTGGCACTTGTCGACACTGGTTTCTCGGTAAACTTGTTAATTTTGTTTCATTTCTTTTCCTTCGGCAAACTCGATTTTTCCCCTTGGAAAGTCGGGGGAAACATCGACATTCGAGAAAATTCTCTAGACTACTCATCTAGACAAGTGTATACAACTGCAGTTCTCTTGCATCTAACGGAATTTCTCATTCGTTGTTTCTTAGTTACAAAGAAACAGAACATTCGAGTCATTAGCTTTCCAGTTATTAACCTACGGAATACCTTACCTTATCCGAGAAGCGTTGTCGTATACAGTAACGGTCACTTCCAACTCGTCTTTAAATCCAATTATAGAAAACTCTTCTTCTAATCTTTGCTTTACTGTCCCTGTCGCAAAAGCATCCATAAATGCCAGTAACCTCTCTTTTGTATGAAAACACAAGTAGACAAGAACAGAAGACAGTGTGATAGACTGGACTCTATCCACCAAACCTGCGAAGGCGCTTTTCACTGCAATCTCGACTAAAGCCGGGTTTCTATAGAAAAAAACTGATAATGCGACGCCGGCGCCTGCGATCGTTCCAGTTGCTAACAATGAGTTGTCAATTTTGACATTAGCGTAGAATAGTCCACAACCAACTTCCATTTCAAGAACAGGTCTAGATCCTGCAGCTTCTCTACGACGCTCCCCCGCCATCAGATTGCAATATATTTACTCTTTATCGACGTCTGTAAACTACTGTTTCTTCAGCTTTCTTCTTAATTACCAATCCTGTTCAATTTGGGATTAGTCTGTTGTAAACAGTGACTCGCCTTTGACTTTCTCCTGGTTAAGACACCTCGTTTACTGCAATTAACACGTTGGGTTTCGCCGTAACTGCAAAGGCAAGTGCAATCTTGAATAAGAATAATATAACATCATATCAGTAACAATCAGGTCCAGTGTTGTACCTAATGTATATCAATGTGCGAGTGATTTCTGTGTGGACTGGGAAGACTTCAAATATTAAATACTCAGTTTTATATTCAGGAAACGATGTTTGTTTTCAAATGTTAATAAAAAAATCTCCAACTCGGTGTCCAAAAAACTGTTGTTTAATATATTTTGCAAGTCTAAACATCATGGCGGCCGAAATAACAGAAGTTCACCGTGTCGTCGTGGCAGATATTTTGCTATCATAATCTAGTTGAAACGTCGATATAAGTTCCAAACACCTAGATATTTGCTTCCGAAGTATGACATACTCTCATCGGAACGACAGTTTAAATATTCGTTTTCACCTTCTGCGCGCCTTTAGCTAATCAGAAAAGTAACTGAGAATGCGGACCTTTTTAATCAATAGATAACTCACGTTGGAAGAATACAAACAATATTTGTTTCCAAAATATTTGAAACCCAACAATGTTGTGGAAAAACTTGACCACGCTTTTGATTGGTTGCTTTCGACCCCAATTTTTTTTTGAAACATTTTCAGTCTTATAAGTCCCAAACATCTACTGTTCTCAATTAACCCTCTGGCCAAGTTCGAATAGTTGCACTATAACACTACGCGTTACCTTTTCCTGTCTGGATAATATATAGATTTAGCCGAGCCTAAAAGCGGAGCTCCTAATTAAACAATTGACCATAAATGAAAAGAAGTTATTTTTCCCTGGATCACAAACTCAGAAAGTGATCAATTTTGACCATATGATTGTTCAGTGTGTGGTTTCACTATTTTTCTAATTACATTTTAACAAACCATACCTAATAAGTGTACACAAGATTGTAGAAATTACGCATGCAAGAGACGATTGTGCAAGAAACATGTCGGAAGAAAAGTTAACAACGCGTCAGGGTTTAATTTGGGCCGAAATTTAGCATAGTAATAACCTGGCTTGAGCCCATCATCCAATCGAAACCCAGTACCTGGTCAGCGGTCAACTTCAATAAACACGCGACCTCGATGAGCTCTTGAACTGAGTCCGGGATATGGTCACGTGTTATTGGTCAGCGGGTACCTTGTTTTGACAGCTGTCAATTAAGTATAACATGGATGGCCAATATCAAAGATGTACCAATGGTAACGGTGCTACAATGAAACGTCTATTAAGCGGACACCCTCGGGACCTTCCCAAGTGTCCGCTTAATAGAGGGTGTCCGCTTAATAAAGGT